TTATAGACAAAGACTATAGTGAGATGTGATTTGTAGGAACAGACCGTTGTGAGATGTGGTTTATTGACATACTCTACATTGTGAGATGTGGTTTATAGACATAATCTACATTGTGATATGTGGTTTACAGACATAATCTACATTGGGAGATGTGGTTTACGGACATAATCTACATTGGGAGATGTGGTTTACGGACATAATCTACATTGGGAGATGTGGTTTACAGACATAATCTACATTGGGAGATGTGGTTTATAGTAATCTACATTGGAAGATGTGGTTTACGGACATAATCTACATTGGGAGATGTGGTTTACAGACATAATCTACATTGGGAGATGTGGTTTATAGACATAATCTACATTGGGAGATGTGGTTTACAGACATAATCTACATTGGGAGATGTGGTTTACAAACATAATCTACATTGGGAGATGTGGTTTATAGACATAATCTACATTGGGAGATGTGGTTTATAGACATAATCTACATTGGGAGATGTGGTTTACAGACATAATCTACATTGGGAGATGTGGTTTATAGACATAATCTACATTGGGAGATGTGGTTTACAGACATAATCTTCATTGGGAGATGTGGTTTACAAACATAATCTACATTGGGAGATGTGGTTTATAGACATAATCTACATTGGGAGATGTGGTTTACAGACATAATCTACATTGAGAGATATGGTTTATAGAAGGATTATTTGAAGATGATGTTTATTGAAAAGGTAATTATTCGAATTAAAAAAAGATGAGAAATGCAGCCAACTGTAAAAGACTATTTGAAGGTGTTGAAGACAGACACTTAGAAGATGCGAACGAATGTACTTGAAGAGCGGGAAATTTGGCTGTGATTCAAAAACCTCCGCCATGCCTAAATGAGTCACCTTGCGTTTGGTCTTGTTATTATGAACGAGTGTTTATAAGCTGAATATGTAACGCTGTATCTTACACCACATCGGACTACCGGCTTAGGTCAGATAACTGCATCGTCATCGTCACGCATGACTAATTACCAATAATCACCATAGGAAACGCCTAACTGAAAACTTAACAAAAATGTATAAATCTGACAGCCATACTTCTTTCTGACAGCTAATTTTAGAATTTGAGAAAATATTTTAACAGCAATCTAGAAAACAATCCTTTCGTTATGCTATGTTAATTAAGAATAGTTCGTCCTAACAACATAGTCACACAAACAAACGAAAGGACCACTTTCAAAATCTAGAAACACGATTATAGGAGTGTTAATGGTAAGGGAAAGAGCAGTAGAACGAGTAAAGCTGATCCAAAAAGTGTCGTTGGGAGTGGCCTATATATTTTCTTGATTCAAAGCAGAGAAAACCACGAATTTCAATTCAATAATTGCCGTATATACCTAGTCACAGTATCGAACTTCGAGTCATAATCGGAAGGCAAGTTTTGGTTTCAATGTCGTAATGCCGTTACACGTTCTACAGTCGCGCAGAGAAACAATAAATAAAAGTTTGCCACAAACCTGTATCCGGTTATGTATTGAAAACACATGGCTATCTTGAAATCCTGACAACATTGGAAATGATACATATGCGAAGCTTGATTAAATATTCTGGTTTATTGTAGCTGAACTTTGAGTGAATTTTAATTATCCTTTACTACTGAAATCAAATGTAATCATTACGATCACGATCAGCGTTCTGTGTGTATCTGTTTGGACGCTAAATTCTCGAGCGATAACAATCAACAAATTAACAGGTATTTTTCTCAAGCTGTACATTTCTAGTTTTGTAAATAAATGTCTTCTTGTATATAACTCTACATCTGAAATAGATACATTTTCATAGATGCCACCTTAATTTGTTTGACTTACAAATATAGACACCTTTATTGACACCGGGAATGAGAAAGAGAATCGAGGAAAAAGTGAATAATTTATATTCCGATGGTGAATCAACTTACCGAACCCTTTCTCGCGATACATGTAAATGGGTTAAGCTGCAGATGGATGAAAAGAAAACATGACGCAGTTTAAGGTGGAGCAGTGATATGACGTAGTGGTGTGGTTAAGGAAAGTATGTGATGTCATTTGTTACCTCTTGTTACTATAGGCCATAACCCAGATCCTGATACATCTACACTTGTCAGAAGGTGTTATTGGTATCATGTAATGTGCTTTTTTTCCCAAAGCACCTGTTTCCAATTTCTGTTGTGGTAGGTGATTATGGTAACCTCTGATAGGGATGTTCCCAAAGCGCCTGTTTTCAGTTCCTGTTGTGATAGGTGATTATGGTAACCTTTGATAGGGACATTCCCAAAGCGCCTGTTTTCAGTTCCTGTTGTGGTAGGTGATTATGGTAACCTCTGATAGGCACGTTCCCAAAGCGCCTGTTTCCAGTTCCTGTTGTGTTAGGCGATTATGGTAACCTCTGATAGGGACATTCCCAAAGCGCCTGTTTTCAGTTCCTGTTGTGGTAGGGGATTGTGGTAACCTCTGATAGAGACATTCCCAAAGCGCCTGTTTTCTGTTCCTGTTGTGGTAGGCGATTGTGGTAACCTCTGATAGGGACATTCCCAAAGCGCCTGTTTTCTGTTCCTGTTGTGGTAGGTGATTATGGTAACCTCTGATAGGGACATTCCCAAAGCGCCTGTTTTCAGTTCCTGTTGTGGTAGGCGATTGTGGTAACCTCTGATAGGGACATTCCCAAAGCGCCTGTTTTCTGTTCCTGTTGTGGTAGGTGATTATGGTAACCTCGGATAGGGACATTCCCAAAGCGCCTGTTTTCAGTTCCTGTTGTGGTAGGCGATTGTGGTAACCTCTAATAGGGACATTCCCAAAGCGCCTGTTTTCAGTTCCTGTTGTGGTAGGTGATTATGGTAACCTCTAATAGGGAAATTCCCAAAGCGCCTGTTTTCAGTTCCTGTTGTATCGGACCGTGATATTAGTATCCTCTGGTGTGCTTATTTCCAGACCTTATATTGTCAGTTCAGGTTGTTTGTAGTGATCCAGTGTGGTCTTTTGTCAATTTCATTTTCACTATAGGTTATCTCTCTCTCTTTTAACATTGGTTTTATATGATCTTGCACTAAATACTTACTGTTGCAGTTTCTATCAACTTTTGCATGGTGAAGATGAGTTAATGTGTAAATATAGAAATGTAAAAATGGAACATATAAAACGAAACTATCGGACCTCATTTTTAACCCACGTTGCCTAAAACATTATTCTAGGTCCTGATATATCTGGATACATAAATTCTAATCTTTTTAACACGCCTCCTGTTGTCCAATAACAGTTCTTTACTAGTGACATGGGAATCATCAGCATTGCCATTAAATTACTTTTAATGGAGGGAATTCTTTCATGATCAGACCATCTTGTCTCTTATATCAAATAGCATTATATGCTAGTTTCTAATTCTATATTTTATATTTAAAGAAGGTATTGGTATCCTGTTTTCAGATCGGGTTATCATTGTAGTGGTCTATTTTGACTCTCGTATGGTTTCAATGTCCTCCTTCTTGTCAATTTCATGCTCACAAAAATAAATTGGTCACTTATGTATTTTTAAGATTAATTGTATATTTTCTTGTACTAACGACTCTCTATTCTGTTATATAAACCTTAAATCTAACTTTGATGTGGTGTAGTTGGGTGAACATAAAAAATATGAAAATATCTAAATTCCAGCATATTAATAAAGGTCAGTAATACATTTATCATGCTGTCAAAACCTAGACAAAAATCAAATCCTAGAAAAGGCGCTCAAGGATACAGAGATAGGAGGACTATTGATAGCTTTCTGTTTTACCAAAGCAAGCCTTGGTTTGCAGTTCACTTGGAATTAAAAAATTGTTTTCCAATTTACATTCAAACGTTTAAAAGAAAGTTTGAAATTGTTACCAAAATTTGAATTTGATTATATTTAGATTTCAACTTGAATTTTAATTCAATGCTTGACTTCCTCAGACTAAATGATTATTCAATCATCTTACACACAGTCATTTCTTTCGCTAAAATCAATATTCATTATAAAGAATCTTTTTAGCAAAAGCAGTGGTATTTAGAATAAATAGAAAATAAAAAAAATATGTATAAATAAAAATATCTAAATAGATAAAATATTAACATAATCATAAATACAAACTTAGTGGAAAACAGTGTCACAAGAATGCATGGCTATAAACGACTTTTAAATGTGCTAGCACTTATAACACTCATTAGTCTGATATTTAAGCAATGATCCACATATGGTACATATACATTTCATGACCCTAATCACAGCTAGAGAAGAATGGGCCATCTATTATCATACACCTACTTTATCTTGGACTGAAATCATTACACAAAACTTCATCACAAATTCATAAATAATTGTTTTGGACAATAAATGGTCAAAAGAAACAATTATTTGAGACATATTACAACATCATTTTTCAAAACATGACCTCTAATTGCAGTCTGTTCTTATATATTTTGTTATAATGAAATATTCTATTTAAAATAAGAATACTACTGCTTTCATTAAAATTTTCATTCAACAGACCAAGGATATTGATAAATATCTGCTCAAGGTATAATACAGCTTACATATGACACATACATGCAAGTGGGTGGTTGATGCAGTAAACCACAAAATCAAAGATATGGGTTTTAAGGTCATCTGTACTGATCTAAAACTGAACCAGATCAAGTGTGTGGGAGGACACAGTGGCTGTTCAATGAATCTCAATTTGAACTCAAAACATAGTATATTAACAATACATTTCAAACAAGGGTATGTCATTTTCAACTTGTTTTACTACATGCTGTGATTTATAAATAAGAATCACAAACTATGACTTCACAACCCCCTTTCCCCTCGCCCACACACATACACAACAAACAACAATCCTGAATCTGTGAATGAAAGAAGACACAAATACTAGATTTTATGATTTCATAAACATCTAATTTGAGAGTTTTAAAAATATACAAACAGTTTTTTATATCCACAATACAAGAACCAGTCAGACAAATTTACTTGATTTATTTCATAACGATATTTCATTATACAAGGTAATCGTGAAAATATTGCAACATTTCCATCAATCAACATCACATAGTGAAATTCACCATTATTAGTCTTTAGCACTTTATTTTTATTCCTGGTCAAAAGTCACATTCACCAAACCTCTGGTTCCACAAACATTTGCTCCTCTTTCTTTTTATCTGAAATCCCAACAATAAAAAAAAAAGTTAAAAAACCCGTTTTAACCTCAATGGTTCTGTACACAAACATTTGTATCATTCAATAAAGTCAATTAATAATATGGTAACTTTGCTCCATGTGGAAAACAAATATTCAGCAAAATATGATAAAAGATCCATCCAGTACTTTTTGACACATATGCATACTGTGAGTCAAAAATTCAAAGATTTCTGTCTGTCAGTCATCTTGTTCATAGACAATTTCGACCATAGCATAAAAAATCTAATGAATTTGGATATATATATATATATATCTTTAACAACCTTATCTGAATGGCACACTATCAATAAAACACTGAATTGTAAGATTGGTGAATTTTTCAATGTTTTCACATTGTACACTTTGAAGATGAAACTCATACTAAACTTATCTTTTCATGTCATTGTCAAAATGAACATTCATAGTCTTTTTGATTTTACTTCTTAATACTCATAATATTCAAAGATGCATCCATGTGGGAGTAATATGTTTGTACAAGGGCTCTGGCCTTCAAAAAATGATGACAAAATTTTGTGGTCTGACCCAAAAAAATGCATGTGTGTAGGTGTGCAAGATAAAAGCACTTGGTGGCGTATTGAACAATACACAGGTTTGCTTGCATCTAAACCACATCCTGTAAAATATCTCATCACAATGCCAATGTAATGCACCTGTAAATATCTGATCTTTCAAAACCGAAGACTCAGCAAGAAATGTAATTTGAAACCATAAAGAAACTCCACTGAATTAAGCATATTGCCAATATTTACTCAATCAAAGCAATATATCTAAAATGTTTGAATAAGTCACACAAGAAGAACATAATTACATCTTTATTATAGTATTAATAAAGTTAATCTGAACAAAGGCTCCTACAATTTTCCTGAGATCAATTATGTAGTACATACTGTCAAAAGCTGACCAGGCCTGTGAACTTATTTTCTCAAGTGACTTTTTTTGTTTATTAAATCACCCGATTACAAATGTTTCAAATAAAATTTTTAAAAATAAAACCTGATTAAATTTGTCTTGTGATATTGAAGAAGACAATGTGAGGCTTCATTTTGTCAGAGGCTTCATATTTCTTAGAATAATATTTTTGCATTGTGTTTGAGATCACTATTGGGCAGTCTCAAATCTGTGTCTAAAGACCAAAAACTAGCTTTACAGAAAGCGAAATTTTCTTAGTGTCTCCATATAATTTGTTAACACAATTTTTATTTCTCTACTGTTACTGCGAATGTTATGTAGTTTATAGGTAAATATACCTGTATGAGAGTATTTTTCATAACTAATCTGCTTTACCTGTATATCTCAAACATTTTCCATAATTTCAGGAAAATTGCAAATTAACTGTTTCCTGCTTGCTTAGTATTTGTGGATATTTACTGCAGCAGCTAAAGTAATGATAAAGATTAACTGAAATGGACAGGTGATATTATTTTCATCTTATTTCATATTTTCTGTTTTCCTACTTTGCAATAGTGAACATGCTCTTCTACAAGATAAAGACAGGTGTAAATTGATTAAAATCTGTCACAACATATGATTTTTTTAGACTAATGACAAACGGTTTTACATAAGATATAACAGATATCCAGGAGTTTGACATACAAAAAGTGGAAAAATAATAAATAATAATTCATGTATTAGACATACTTACCAATACAATCTGATATGGATTTAACATTTTTACCAGGAATGATTTTATAACAAATATACCTCCAAATCTTTGGAATACATTCCTTCCTTTTTCATCACCACAATTTTTTTTAATATCCTTTTTAAGAAGAATAATAAAAAAATAATCAAAGGCTTCAAATCACTTAATGGATTTTGTTTCCAATTTACAAGGAAAATGTAACAAGTGCATTGTCACTTGAAAGTGGTAAGTACAAAACATTTTCAATGTCTAAGTCATGTTTAACTTTATAAAATTTAACATCATATGATCAAAACCCAATAGTCATTATGATAATAGATATGATTCTATTTAATATCATGGTCAATAGTTACGCTATCTTTGAAAGACAAAATGGGAAAATTTGCAAAGTGTTTTGTTTTCTTCTGTGTATTCCATCCCTTATCAATTTGGTATGTGACTTTATGTCCTTGGAACAGTTGGGTCATATGAGGACAAGTGTTCATATGAATGCCAACAGCCTGGATCATATGAGGACAGGTGTCTATGGAGATATCAACAGCTGCAGTCATTAAAGGGAATATCAACAGTAAGGGTCATATGAGGATGGTTCTATGTGTATGTCAACAGGCAAAGTCATATAGAAGATGGGTGTCTAAAGGAACAGCAAGTCAGGGTCATATGAGGATGGTTCTATGTGTATGCCAACAGTCAAAGTCATATAGAAGATGGGTGTCTAAAGGAACAGCAAGTCAGGGTCATATGAGGACAGATGCCTGTGGAGATATCAACAGCTTCAGTCATTAAAGCAAAAGTGTCCAAGGGAACATCAACATTCAGGGTCATATGAGGATGATTTTACGTGGATGCCAACAGTCAAAGTCAAATAAAAGTGGGTGTCTAAGGGAACATCAACATTCAGGGTCATATGAGGATGGTTCTGAACAATATATTTTCAACAAAGAGCAAAAACACTGAACTGCGAGGTCATGGAACCTGACTTGTCTACTCTACACCTTTCTTTTGTGTGGCTTATGTTTACATGGAGTTTCAATATCCTAGTTTACATGCTGGGTAAGTAAAGATCCTATTCCGAAATTCCAACAAATGGCAATAACACTTAAATAAAGGGATTGCAGGCATTAACATTGGTCCACTGCACTTTGTCTTTGTATGATCAATGTATACCGCAAGTTTCATTATTCTACCTTAAATGCAAGCAATTTTAAAGTTGTGCTTAAGACACAAAATTAAAAAAAAGGGTAATAACTCTGTAATTAATGAGATACAGGTCCTGACTTGGTACACTGCACATTATCTTAGTATGCCCAACGTATACACCAAGTATGATTATCTTAGTTTTAATGCAAGCAAATCTACGCTCATGACACAAAATTCCAACAACGACCAATAACTCTGTACTTAGGGGTCATGGGCCCTGACTTTGCTACATTGCAATCTTGTTTTTGTATGACTAATATATACATCTTGTTTCAATATCCTAGTTTAAAAGCAGGCAAAGTGATGCTCAAGACAAAACGAGTTATTCCAACTTATATTCATCACCTTTGCAGGTGTGGATGGAAGCATACGAGGGGTCTTATGGTTTGCGAAACCAAATATCTTGGGGAAAACCCTAGTGGTCAAACAAGCAACACCATACCTTTTCACATCCATTAAGGTCATTGAACCCCAGACCCTAAAGGTCAAGCAAGCGACACCATACCTTTTCACATCCATTAAGGGCATTGAACCCCAGACCCCAAGTGAAAGGCAAGTGCTTTACTGAATCACCACCTGACAAATCAATCTTCTTATTATTTGTTACATCTAAATCTCTTTCAGGTGTAAAGACAATTGTACAATGTTTTTTTTTTTTTTTTTAATTGCTGAAGAAATTTCTCTTCAAAAGTAAAACAAACATTTTTACAATTCATTTAACTGAAAGTTGAACATCTGATTTCATTTTATTACTTCATTTATAAATGTTTGACTTTTTCTAATTTATTTCATTTTAACTACAAAATATAAGGAAGATATCAATCATTCAAAATTATTCTACTCCCATGCACCTATAGTTTCAGTATTTCTGTTTAACTTTTCAAGGAATAGTAGTGGTGACCATGAAACGTGTTTAAAATACTTTAAAATTTGTGTAAATTTTGATCAAAATCAAATACTTTGAGGAATCAATTCCCTGGAACTGATAAAGATTTCCTAAAAAGTTAACGGTGACTTTGATTCTGAACATGATCTTATCCTTGTTATTCTTACAACTAGATTTAAGAAATAATGGCACTGGAGTGATATTTCTGAACTGGTTGACGGTTTTCTTTGATAAACAGTAACAGTAAATTTAAGCTTTGAAACTTTAAAAATAATCTTGTATATGATGTTTATATAATTGTTGTTTAATGTTTCATCAAATTCTCTTAAGAAATGAAGTGATACCACTCAATTGGTTCATGATTGGCTATAATCAATCATAGTAATAGTGACTTTGAAATCCAGTAATAAGATCAAGGTATTGTCATCAATGACCTTTGCGTAAAGTTTTATTAAAATTCATTGAAATATAAATGATCTTGCTACAGTGAAGACAATGACAGGACAGGACAAGAATTGAAGGAATGGGACTGCATCTGACAAAAATGGATAACTGTATACCTCTTCAATACATAGATGGAATGTGAGATGTTAACTAAAATGATCAAATAAGAAAATACCTTTAACATTGCTACTTTCTGTTTCCATAGCTTTAATGTTGTTTGCATCCTTTCCATTTGGTTCATCCATGTTCTCTGTATTTTCCTCTGGTATTGGAGGCGTGATTGACCTAGATACAAAGGGGGCAGCTCTGCAGTGAAGGACATTACAATGGACAATTACTACTAAGCCTACCGCACAACACATGCAAGCACATACATTATCAAACATGTACTGAAGCCTTGTTAATTCATTCAGCTTTCATCAAAGAATAACGCAAAAGGTGGATAGAAGCAAGCCTTGTTGGATACATAAAGGATGAAAATAGTTTACATAGTGTTTCATATAGGACAAAAGCTAAAACCCTGAAATTTCAGTGACCACTCTCTTGTCATCAGATAAATGACCATACAATAACCTTTATAGAACACAGAATGACAATTTACCTGACAGGTTGATTTGTTTAGAAAAGTATATCAAGGAGTCAATAATATACAAAATGTCTATCAAATTACAGAAATATGAAATCGATTAGTTTACACGTCTATTGTACATGCTATTCTTCCATGAAATAGACAACAAAAGGAAAGAAACAGCTGCTACCTGGCCATCTATATGGGCAGCCTTATCGTGATTCACATCTGTACACTTAAGACTTTAATTATCTGTTGCTAAAACATTTCACTATCATGTATTACCTCTTGATTATTTTATCTTAGTGTACATGAAGTGTAAGTATAACAACAAGTCAGTTTGTTGTCAAGTACAATTTACATTTTGGTGTATAAATAAATGACTAGTTAATGGAGATTACGTTATGAAGATAATAGAGAGTAGTGACTGAAATTTCACTCCTAGATTTCTAATACGTTGTGCTACTATGCACTTTGTCGACATACGCTTGGTTAATAAGGCTAAATACAGATTAATATATTTTGATAATGAAGCCACAAGCTCAAAACACAATAATTACAACATATCTGACTGCTAAGCATATTAAGCAGAGGCTTTCTCTGGGGTGCCCCAGAGGTCCATATAGGGCCTTATTCCATAATTTCAGAATTTTTTGCCCATGTGTGATGGTGATTCCTATTTGAACCTTATTAGCATATCTATGACCAAAATAAATCTTCAGACAAAAAAGAAAATGTAAAGTGAAGGTTGTTGTTTGAGTTTGTTGACAACCTGCTTGAAAAATGAATTATTGTCAAGCAAACACAATTCACTTTGATGAAAGGGCTGTTATGGGTAGGGGCATTTTTTTTATTCCTAATGTTAATTTTTGTTGAGGGTCCTTGTTGATAGAAATATTTTGCTGATCTGTCAATTTTTCCCAGTTTCACCCAAGGGCCTCTTTTCAATTTCACCCAGAAAAAGCCCTGACAGCATATTAACTACTTAAGCCAAACTACATTAGTCATTAAGATCCCCTGCCCATCTTCATTTGTAAAATATATACATTTACAGTGAGCAACATGGAAAACTAAAGTATTGAAACCATTTCTTGTTTATGTTCAGTTTAAAATTCCGTTGAAAGTGATCAATGTAATAACAATTTAGTAGCATAATACTTTGAATATTAAAATCAGATTATCATACCTTTGTATTCTTATACCCAATGGTAATGATAGAATATTTGCCACTTAATTTCACTAATGCTGGATCATTCAATGATTCTATTACCGATCAAGTATGACAAAATAGTAAAATGGTTTGTACACATTGATAAAATACAATACAGCATCTAATAGTCAGATATATAAAATTGAAGGAAAGTTACTATCAGTAAAACAAATTATAACCGGTGATAGTGCAATATCACTTCAAACATTAGACTTCTAAAAACATTTTGGAGATTCACTATCATAGGTTTATGAGGGCTTTTTACCTACTGATGAAAAAGACCTATTGTTATTGTTCTGTTTCTTATCATCATTCTTCTTCTACCATGATTTTGTGGCCTCTAAATACCCCAATCGGTAAGAGATATGTTTATAGTCTCTTATCTCATCAAAAACTTTATCATTCCTTTGAAAGAAATGTGGAAAGCAGTCTCCAAGACTGTTTCATGGTTGATCAAACTTCAATGAGGAGATTATTAAATACGTCTACCAAGTCTCAACATAATTCATTTATTCCTTCAAAAGATAACACGTGGAAAGCATTCAGTAAACATGCTGAAAGATTTCAGCAAATCAGCTCACAGCAGCCTTATTAAATATGCGCAGAATATGTCAATAATCAAACTTGAACAAGGGATTAAGGTAACAAGTATACCAACCATGTTTCATCTAAATCTGACCAGTCCTTCTAAAGATATCATACAGAAAACAGCATCCAAGAGTGATAAAAGAAGTCAGCAAATCAGGTGAATTTGCTGTTAATCGAACTTGGGAAAGGTATTAAGGTAACAAGTGTACCAACCAAATTTCATAAAAATCTGACCAGTCCTTCAAAAGATATTATGCCGAAAGCAGCATCCAGATGGACAAAAGGACATGCAGAAGAATGGACAGAAGGACAGACAGATGGAACTCCCGTCTTAGTTGGGCAGGGGATAACAAAATGTAGAAAACATAGTTTATAAGCATTCCAAAACATATCAAAGTTATGTTGCTCTATACAGCAGTTAATATCACATGCAAAAATTACAAGCGTTAATACACATGCTTTGTGTTATTCTATTGGTCCTTATCAACACCTATTACATACATGTATAACTGTATGCGTTTGAATGAAACATGCAAGTTAGACACATTCTTTTTTAAACACCCTAAATTCTCTTGTTAATTAAATACAGATTCTTAAGTAAACTTAATAAAATTTCATTGTCATGGCTTCCCACCCAATAGTGAGAACAAGTACTTGAACATCTTAATTGAAATGCAGATATTTGTTAATGAGTGCCACAAGTTTCATTAAAAATCTGACATATAATCTGAGAAGTCAAAATGTGACAATATCTACAAAACAATGGACAAAAGGCAATATAATTAGTCACTTTAATGACTACCCTAAACAAATAGAAAAGATTACAGCACAATTTTAATCATAAAGAGGTTAGAAATTTGAACAATTAACAAATTGTAAAAGAAACCTACTCAACATTTAGAGACTTTCTTTTCTTATTTGGGACGTTATTTTCTGTGCTGGGTGTCGGTCGTTTGCGTGACAGCGCTTGATTTCCACTCTCACTGTGCTGGTATTGATGGTAGGTCTTGATAGTGTATACTGTTCCGCTTTTACACAGGTTCTGCAAAACTGTTGAAATAACAGAGTAATGAGTATGGTTATGGTAATATTTTTCTTGTTCGAATGCAAATTTTGTTATCTCTGATATATTTCCAAAGTATCACACTTCATGTTATTAATACTGGGTAAATTTTTCATTCAAATGATGAGTAAATATAGTATCATCAAAAATTCCTGATATTTCATTTGTCAAAGTTAACAGGTCATTATTTTGTATTTTTTATTCAATCATGTAATCCACAAAATGTCACCGAAGTTAATGTGTTAACCACTTCCCATCCCATGCCACGCCCTCAAAATCTGAGGATTTGCATGTAGTTACCTTTTTGTGCCTCTTCTTTCAAATAAAGTGATGCGAATGCTGATGTGTCATCTAGCCAGAATATCTGTGAGCCACCTATTTATCAAATCAGTTACAATACTACAACGAAATGCATTGAAATATGCAAGCAACTTTATATATTGTAAAATAGAGAGGATGCTTTCTTCAAATGTTTCAATTTGACTGCATTATTTGAAACTGATGATAACTATCTTAGGATTAAAACTGACAAGCAAACAGAGAGAAAATGTTGACCATTTCTTTGCAGTCAAACAAAAGTACAATAAATTAATGAAGCCATTATTGTTTTGATTAATGACATCCTGTGCAGTACTGACCAAAGGGAGAGAATAAGTGTATGAGGTCGCTTGTCTTCCACTCTTTAGGAAATGTTAAGTGGAATACATGGTCCCTGTTTGGAGTCACTGTAACAGAAATGGTGTCCATAATTTCATCTACACTTAACAGCAGTGTGTAATTCAATTAGTATTTTTATGACCAGGTATTACTTAACATATTCTTGATGTTCAAACAAAAAAACATCTCAAAATCTAAAATAAAAAAATCTTAAACTAGATTCGATAAGAAGAAATCCTAAAAGCTTAGCCTATGATAAATATGCGTTTCTTGATTCATGTTATATACACATGTATTGTTGTGACTTGAGGTATTATTCTTTTATTACTATGTACAAGTGCCAGAAAATTCAACAACAACTTTCTATGAACACTTTACATTTTGGTGTAGCAGCTGAGGGTTCTTTGTTTATGAAATATGGACCAACATTTTTATCTTAAGTTTTACTTTCTGACAAGACTTTCAAGGCATGTATTTCAAATGTGTACAGATTGGTTGCAATTTCTGCATAAAATATCACATTCACAATAGAGACAAACCGGTCTGACAAGCCCTCTTACCACAACAGAGACTATAGTCCAAGGGAGATAATACTACTTACAATCCTTGCCAGCTAGGTTAAGATAAGGGATATCATGAACTCGCATCAGGAAGAGTCTATTAAAATATAAAATCAGTACAAAAAATAAAAAGAGATGAAACAGATATAACAGAAGAAGTGACAAGATTCTAAAATATGTACATAGAAAAACAGAACAAAATTTTCTCAAACAGAGCTGACAATGAACACAATGTTGTCAACTGCTTAATTGGTACTTAATTGATTCAATATTTTGTTGTCCTTTCCTTTTAATAGGTTAGAAAGATCTATTATATTTGTTAATACATGCATGTCAAACCAACCTGAGACTTCAAATAAAAAAAACCCAATATCTTTGAGTCCACCAACTGAATTATCTCTACCATGAATACCTAGTTTACTTAATTATTAGTTAGGATTTTAGCTAAAACAATATTTCAGTCACAGCTGGGTTAGACTGAGTAACTTGTCTTTTTCAATAGAATACATTGCAGAGATGTGGCAGGCTTACTTGTTTATGAATGGCTGGATGAGTGGCGAGGAAGGTGGAACAATATTTTGGGACGGATTCTGGAAAGTACCTGTCACATCAAACAAGAGAGGTTCTATGACATATCATTTAATTCCTTCTTAAAATGTATTTCTCAAAATTTAGTAAGCACCTTATTGCATAGATAATTCACTGAAAACCAAAGGGTATTTAGGAAAATGGAAAACATCTTTTATTTTATATAAATAACATATAGAAGATACATGATGCGTTATATCCTTATTAAATGTTGCCTTCAGAGTACATGTGTAAATTAAGTCAGTTGTCTTGTAAAATATATAAATACATTCCTGAGTCAGAAATATTGTTGATTCAGGATCCAAATATCGCAGATACTTTATCATTATTCAATATGAGAATAAGTTAGATAGTTAGAAGCACAAATTCAAGTCTCTTTGGTTTATATCAACTGTTGTACTATTAAGTGATTTTTCACCATCAACTTTGTAAGTTGTGGTATACCATGTGTGCCTTGCTGTTTCTTTTCAGTGATATGTAAAACAGGATTTGAGAGTCATCAAAAAGTGTCATATTTGGTTGCAGTATGACCTTGTAATATGTATATCACCAAAGCTTTTACTAACCTAAGAAGTTAGACATGCAGATGAAACATATTCCAGTCAGGTAAGCATCATAACCTGCTTCATGGAGCGGTCCCTTCTCTGTTGTATATTTGTTGAACTTTTCTTCTATTTCTTTAAGTAAACAAAAAAAACCATTTGTAATTATATGTTCAAATTTCAAAAGACTAAAAGCAAATCATAGATCTATGACATGTACTTTGAACAAGAGTTGTAGGAAGGCATGATAACTAATCTCTAAATGCAACAACAAAAAAAACCAGAAATACAAATATGCAGTCTCATTTTATGGGAAAATGTTAAGCTTCAACTTTACTTTAATCAATAATCTTCAGACACTTTGATAACAAGCACAAGAACCCTTGTAGTACTTATTTCTGTGATGAACTATTCAATAAAAAAATAAGTCATTTCCTGCATTTAAACCATGCATCAGCTTGCCATAGAAATATTTGAAATTGTCACTGACAATAGCTTGTACAGATTATAAAATAAATAGTTACTCTACCTACCAACCTGAGGCTTCTGGAAGGGTTTGAACTCCAGGATCTTCTGTAGATCAGACAGACCTGTATTCATGATTCTGTCCTGAGGACATCAACACAATATAATCAAATACTGCCAACAGACTAATTTTCAAATATCATGATGATATGAATAGATTAATACTGTAAGGTTGAAATTTTGTATTCAAATCTATACATTTACTGACAAGATATATTTTTTGTAGATCTGCGGTGTTGCTAACCTCTAGCCATCTGATATCTGGTCATAGTCTTGAACAGTTCATGATGGGAAAAACCTTATAATCAATTCCATTGTGAAGTTATCTAATTTGTATGTATTTAAGTGATGCTTCGTTGCATTTGAACGTTATTTTTACCAATATTTGATCAAGATATTGATTTGAAATGTTTAGATAATGCTTATTCTTTAAAGAGAAGATATATCGTATGATTCTATCATTTTGCTGAGAAATATTTTTGTTCCAATAATGTAAGAAGGGTTAATCAAATTGTAATGTCTATCCAACCATGAAAAGCAAATACAGTCTCAAAATTGAAAATTAAAAACCTAGAGAATGCCTATGAGATGAACGCCCTATTTCTAAGTAGACCAGAATCTGATCAGGCGTAGAATATAATGCTATGATATCATAATAGTTACTTGGCAAATATGAATCAATGAATCCAATATATTTAGATGTTCTCAGGATGTGACGTTAATTCGGACAGTAACAGGCATGATGGAAAGGAACAAGATGGATGAACATGGATTATACTATAAGCTGTCCCCTCCTCCTCCACCTTCACTCCCACATAAAATACAAAAATGTTGATGATTCATATTTCTGCATATTGCTTTTAAAATTCTAAATTTAATGCGTGATATTGCTTCAGAATATCAAAGAGTTCTGGGGTGGGATAGATTCTTTCCTAGAACAGTTCTTATTAATACAAGTACCAGCTTACAGGAACATCAAACTTACACTTCATCAATGTACACTCACCTTGAAGGGACTTGTACTAGCCATAAGTTTAGTGTCTAACAATCTGTAACCAAGAATAATCTACATGTCACTTACTGACCATTGAATCCATTACCAAATGAACATACTTTTAAATGAAAATCTACAATGATGTGACAAATACACTGCCATGACTGCCACATGTGTCACACCATGATAAAAAGTTCCTCTGTGACAATGAAGTTAAAGTATGTCTATCAAACCTGTGAACTATTTCAAACTTATTATTAACTGCATTAACATTTTCAAATTCTTCATTTTCTTTTACATTGGAAAATCTCTTATCAGCTTAAATGATTAGTGTCTGAAATAGCCAAAATAAAGGTGATCATGAAAACATCAAGACATAGAAGTCAATTTTAGTTTCACTCTAATTAATTAAAATGATGATGCCCTCAGATTTACAGACAAAATATACTCCTAGTTCATATACATTATTATTTAATACTACCAGATTTTTTTTTCAATTATCCTAGCTTCTTTAAAAAAAACCTTGAGGAACACAGACGTAAAAACATTGACAGTCTGTGAACACATTCATTCAAAGATCTATATAAATACGCCTTCAGTAGATGGAATTCCGTTGTTTTATACATATCACACCAAGAGGAGAATGGTCACAACTTACTTAGGAAATGCAGACATGGACATATCCTTGAACTCTTCATAACTCTGAAAAAACAATTAATATAAACCATCAAACAAAAAATCCTTCCTGACATCAACTCCAACTGATCAATATCATCACTTAAACTTATTTTGGATTACAACAATGAGACTTTACCAATAGTTACCAACTATATATAGTCCCTGTTGACAACCACCTCAGATTAATAGTCGTAATTACATTTGCATCCCCTGTTAAGGCCCACTCTTTCTGATGACTTGTGTCTATCCATTCTTCTGGTCTAATGGACACCCAGTTTACCAATACTTATTCTAGCCTGTTAAGGCCCATTCTTCCTTGTCTCTGTCCATTCCACTGATGCAATGGACACTCTCAAAGTTACCGTTACTCATTAAAGCCCCTCTTAAGGACCACTTGTCTTGGGACTTGTGTCCATTCTACTGTGTAATGGACACTCTCAGCCTTACTGATAGTTATTTGGGCATGTTAAGGGATTAGGCCATTGTTAAGAACCACATATCTTGGTGATATGTGTCTGTCCATTCTACTGTGTAATGGACACTCTCAGCCTTACTGATAGCTATTTGAGCATGTTAAGGGATCTGGCCATTGTTAATAACCACTTATCTTGGTGATATGTGTCTGTCCATTCTACTGTGTAATGGACACTCTCAGCCTTACTGATAGCTATTTGAGCATGTTAAGGGATCTGGCCATTGTTAATAACCACTTATCTTGGTGATATGTGTCTGTCCATTCTACTGTGTAATGGACACTCTCAGCCTTACTGATAGCTATTTGAGCATGTTAAGGGATCTGGCCATTGTTAAGAACCACTTATCTTGGTGATATGTGTCTGTCCATTCTACTGTGTAATGGACACTCTCAGTCTTACTGACAGCTATTTGAGCATGTTAAGGGATCTGGCCATTGTTAATAACCACTTATCTTGGTGATATGTGTCTGTCCATTCTACTGTGTAATGGACACTCTCAGTCTTACTGATAGCTATTTGAGCATGTTAAGGGATCTGGCCATTGTTAAGAACCACTTATCTTGGTGATATGTGTCTGTCCATTCTACTGTGTAATGGACACTCTCAGCCTTACTGATAGTTATTTGGGCATGTTAAGGGATTAGGCCATTGTTAAGAACCACTTATCTTGGTGATATGTGTCTGTCCATTCTACTGTGTAATGGACACTCTCAGCCTTACTGATAGCTATTTGAGCATGTTATGGGATCTGGCCATTGTTAAGAACCACTTATCTTGGTGATATGTGTCTGTCCATTCTACTGTGTAATGGACACTCTCAGCCTTACTGATAGCTATTTGAGCATGTTAAGGGATCTGGCCATTGTTAAGAACCACTTATCTTGGTGATATGTGTCTGTCCATTCTACTGTGTAATGGACACTCTCAGTCTTACTCATGCATCCTGTGACTAGTCTTTTTGCCTTCCATCTTAGGCGATTATTGATTAAAGATATTCTAAAAAAATTATTCAAATAATTAGAAAACTTGACAACTATGAAAAACTGCAGTATTACTAAAATAACTGAACCCCAGTAAATGGCCGTTATATCACTGTCATTGATACAATACCAGTAGTGTACAGTCAATTTCAATAAATCTACACCTTCAAAATACAAAGGCTTAGCTCTAGCTACATGTATAAATCTTATGTATCTTCTCTGCATTCTTGTAACAGGTTCCGACAGAAATAACTCTCTGTATGAGTCAATATATTGTAGATAAATGCTGACTAGTCTGGAAACTAGTACAGAATCATCTAATAGACAGAGAATCAATAATCAAATGACAGCATATCAGAAAATAGACTTGCCTTGATTTGGATGTAACTTTGTTTTATTCAGAAATAATCAATATCAACCCAGTGATTGTTCAGATTTCAGAAATAGAACCAATCAAATGGCTGTTAAACCTGAGAACCTTTTGCCAAAACATATCCCAAGGGTGATGACAAGATATGGTCAGTTAAGTGGAGCTCTTGTCTTATAAAAGGACAGAAAGCAAAATAAGATGAGTAATAGAACCATACCTCTGGTAGTGGGTAGAAGAACTGGTGCAGTATATGAATGAGGTCCAGCATCATGTTGTGTCCTACTACCAGCTTACCCTGAAGACAAATGTATCACAATGTCTGAAACACCTGGTCTTATCTTCCTTGCACTTGTTTAGGATTCTCTGAGTAAGTTTTTCTTTTGCTTATATTTTGCCTTGGTTTTATTGAATTTGATATTTGATTATGATCATGTTCATATGTTGATATTTGTTGTTGTTTCTGTGTTACAAACAGTTCATTCATAATTCATGCAACTCCTCTTTGAATGTTCTATTTATCATGTTCATTTATAATTGATGTTACTCCTATCTGACTGTTCCATTTATCATGGTATCAATATGACAGTCTAAGAAAGTCTAAGAAACATGCTCCATTATTAAACCTGATAAAATTGTACCAAAATTTCAGAGTACAAAATTCAAATTCTAGAAACTAACCATAACAAAGATTTCTTATCATTTTTTTTGTAACATTACTTACAGATTGAGATATTGTACGGATGACCTTGGTGAAGCCAACAGCATTGTCTAAATCAGTCTTAAATAAACAAGAACTTTCTTTATTGGTCTGATCGGAGTGCAGTATAGTAAAAGTATTATACACAAATGCAATTTGATTAAAATAACTTCAATAGTTGGATTAAACCACTTACTATCACATATATCAATAGAAAAGCAACACTAATAAGTATACTTAGCACATCGGCAATAGTGTAGCAAAATAGATATCTATTTATAAATGTACTCTAAAATCTACAAGGAAGTCATCATTCAAAAACAATATTTAAGCATTTGTAGTTGTGTCTGTTTGAAGCTGATGAGTTATTTGACACAGCGATTGTAGGGTTTTCAATCAAACAGTGTCTAGTGATATTCTATTGCAATTTGAGTTCTATATATGTATATTTAATAAAACTTATACAACAATAATTCGTTCCTTATATCCAGGGAGGCAATTCTATTTAAAGTATCATACTTACCACCTCTGCAGCCTGTTTCTCAGCCTCTCGTCTCTTCATGTCTTCCTCACTCTTTATTCTAGTTACAACAATGTGCCGTTCCTTCTTCTCGTCTGTCTGTGTCTCCAAGTGTATACCTGATAGAAACCTGAACGCCACTCAGTGTTAATGATGTATAACAATATCTGACAAATTCTAGAATTCTAAACAACTGTGGTAACACAAAACCATGGATATAGCAATTTACAAAATATGATAAGAGTACAAAATGTCAAAACAAAATTCAACTGAATTCCCCTTCTCTTGTGTACAAACAAACTATATAAGATATACAAATGATTGAAATCTAGACTATTCTATCATACCAGGACAATATCTATGTACAGAGCATGTAGATGTAATTAGGAGAAATTATCAAATGACACTATGATACAAAAGCTTCTTAGGAGAAGCCTCTCATCATAAATACTAGCTGCCTGACTAATACCTCCACATATGGAAGTTCCTGTGTGTTGCACCAGAGGTATACAAAGGTATACATTGTTTTGTAAATGGGCTAGCACTTCCAATAAAATACTTCTTTCCCTATACCAACTGTAAACATATGAAGCAACTGCCCCACCTCGTTTCATACAGTCATGTGAGCCACTTACGTTTTAGGAGTTGTTTTGGTGAGAAAAAAGTACTCCATCTAAAACTTTACTGATATGTTGACTCTGAAGATGGAATACTCTAAATGTATGTATTTGGAAAAGGCAAGAACAAATCTTTCTTTAAAGACTTATTCTCAAAACTACATTTTTTGTAATGTTTATTACGACTGGTAAATCAGATATCATTAGGTCATTTCACCAGTTTTTTCTCATTTTGTACTTACTGAGCTCGTAAAGACTGGTAAATCAATTTTCTCTGGAACCCATTACAGGATGGTAGACTCAGTTTGTCCTCAGTAGATTTTTCAACAAAATCAGAAACTTTTTCACTGCAACAAATACAAGCATCTGTCAATGAACAATAAAATGTCCCTTCAAACATCTGCTGTGGGATACATTCACATCGACCAAATCCTTTTCCTTGTACTTCTTTCTAATGCAAGTCTTTTTATTGGGTGATAGGATTTGAAGTACTTGGGATGAATTAATTGTTCCCTACTGTTAACAATAAACTTATTAACTAAACTTAAGTTGTGATATGGTCCAACAAAACAGTCAAAATGAACAGAGTAAATACAAATATACAAGAAATTTACAATGACCAGTCGAACAGCTGATGGTCCACTTTGTTAGAAATAATCGATGCTAAGATCTTCTTCAAAAAAGATTTAATCAGTTGACAAAAAAAAAAAAAAAAACAGAAAAAAACATCACAAACAGAAGAAGCAATTTCAAAATGATTGCCATTAGATGTCATGTGGGCCACAGTGACCTAATTTTGCTATATGATACAGCAGTACTTGTTAGTTACTCATGATTATAATGTCAGTGACTTACAATTTAAGCTAGGTCTATAAGTAAGTTTTCAATTGATCTCACAGTACTAGTTTGCATACACAACAATAATCTACAGGTATATCATACACTTTTTTCTTTTATAATATGCAAAGATGATATTACCAAATTTCTTTGATAAATTCCTTCTGTTCATCTGGAATGCTGACTGGCCCTTTTGATGTCCCCTGAGAGACCCCATCTGGAGTGACAAAAGCTGGAGACGAGAACTGTGAGAATTGCTGGTGTTTCTGATGTAATGCCTCTCGAAGATTAGCTTCGTCACCAGGGGTCAGGTACGATATACCTGTAATAGATATATCTCAGGTACAAAATTCAGAACTGGCATTCACTACTAAGTAATTAATCCAATGTTAAAGCAATTTCAAAAATGTGATCAAATTAACAGCAAATGCCGATCCACACAGATAAATTCAGGTGAACAAATGATGCCTAATTATCAGAAATAGTAATAACTGCAAATTTGGATGTGTAGTGAAGTGTGTGCATTGTGAACATTTCACCAATTGTATGATATGACAGGTGTCATTTGACAAGCTTCACCAGTCTTTCTTGCATTTGTGGGAAGATAAAAAATATTCAGTTTTTCAGAAAACCATTCTGATTTTTTCCCCATCAAAACTTAGAATAACTGGCATTAAATAAACAATCAATTAACAATATATATATGAATAGCATTATGTAATATTTAGAATCCATTACAAAAATCAGATGTGATATGACTGTAACGTATATCATTCAGTAATATTCTTGTATGTATTCCTTTCTTATTTTTACAGAGACTAAACACTTTTAAAAACCTGATTTTGTACTTAAAATGCACCAATCTCACCATCTTTAAAGGCCTTGTTAAAATCAAATCCTTGAGATACCAGAAACTCTATACTTGAACTCTACAAAAGAAACATAATACAGATTACTTTTCTTTGTTATGTGATAAAAGTTTCTTGAATTTCATTTCATTTCATAATGATTAGATTTTATGAAACTAATATTGTAGTTTCAATTTTTACTTGCCAAAGCTTGCAAATATAAAAACTTCCAAAACTTCATATCATGTAATCTTTGCTTGTAATAGAGTGTGTTTCAGGAAGTCTGAAATGGTTTGTTATGAACTCTAAAAAAAAAATCACAAGATCTCAGACAAATTGAACATTTCACTATTAAGTGATGCTATTAATAAATTAGTTACATTATGTATTATTATTGGGGTATAAAGAAGAATCTGAATAATGAAAATATCAAACAAGATGTTTATAAAGGGCAGACTGCATCAATACCAAAACTTGTGATTAATACTAGCATCACATAAGGAACTCATCCTTAACTTGCACCAAGTATTCATAGTGTTAATCTATATACTTCTTCAAAATATTGTGATGCAATACCAATCAATCAATACCTGTATCAATGAGTGAATAATGCTAATACAAATATTATTGCTTGAAATAAGTAATATTTCCATTAATTGGGTATTGCATTTGCTTAAATAACCTTTAACATTCACAATATGAATTTGATCTTATATTAGTTGGTTGGTGTCAGGTTTTCTGTTTCAGTGACTGTATCTATCTCAAATGAATGTTAGTGTTCTGGTGACATGAGGGGTCAACCTGCATCTATCAAATTAGATGGAACCATCCATAATGATGTCTTGATATTGAATAGTTTAAGAAGACATTTGACCTTACACCTGTAAGTTATTGATTGATTATCTGTTGAGAGATTCCCGAGAAATTTTAACTCAATACTTTTATTCCATATGTAGTTAAGGTTGCCTTTGGACCTTTAACCTTGACCAATGAACACTACCAAGTACCACCTAATCAGCTGCAGAACTTAATAAAGTAATGCTTTAATGTAAATATTGAGTAACTCTGTCCAAGTGTACATAATATTTGCACCTATTGACGACATAGTGATTACTACAATTTTTGTACATACCCTTTCCCCACTCTATGATGGGGGTATAATGAATATATATACCTGACACAAGAAGCGGACATCAGGACCGGATCGTGAATAAGGACGAGGGAAAATGTAGAAATTAAATGGCCTGGCTTTATACCTGTAATGTTATAAAAAACATTTAAATGTACATTTGCTGTACATAAGAGCAGCTGCAACTGCTATTATTTATGTTAAACATACAACAAAAAATAATTAACACATGAGACAATACATAAATTTACTTCAACTTACTAATATAAGCTATTTCATCTAAAAAGTAGAAATGAAGGCTTTTCAAGAACAATCATCTTCTTTATTGTGATATAGATGTCATCAACATGTTCCGACCACTATGTGGCCGTCATCAGGACATTTGTAAGCTCTGAAGTACAATTTTGCAGCTGAAGATGATGGTTACAACTGTTTGGTAAACATTTAGACACTATGGATACATAACTTTGTGACATCATACAGGTAATTATACAAGGACTAATGTGATTAGCTGCATTATTCCATAATCAGTGGCAGTGTATGTTTGTTTAATGATTAACTTAGACACAATCACATCTAAAAGAAACTTTATGTCATCACACATAAATGTTAGGAACATTGTATTTATAACAATTTAGCTATTCTGGCATAAAATTGAAATTAACTGTAAATCAAGCCGTATAGAAATTTCACTAAATAGTGTACGAAACAAAAATCTTGGCTATGAAATCTTCTGTAAGTGTGAATTGTATCACTGTTGATCTAATCCAAAACCTGGTTTAAATACACAATGGAGGTTATGACCTTCAATGTCTTCGCTAGGATACAATACCCTGTGCCTCAGGTTTACTAGTCTGAAGCTCAACTGCTGAAGCTAAAGAGAAGTTCTCTCTAGCCGAGTGGTATATTGTGGCTAGTATTTTACCACCATTACATGTTGATTTACAAATTAATATGAAATGAATTTCTCATCAATAGGTTTTACTTACAATGATTTTTCTTCATTATAATGAAAGGTACAAACACCAAACTGCAGAAGTAGGAAATCACATGTACCCTGAATAACAAAACAAAATTTCTGTATACATTATATCAAACATTTCAACATTCATTCCTAATGTATGATAAGTTTGATTTAATATCTGATGTATTACAAAATCTGTGTATTCCTACCATGGTAAATCTCTTCATATCGATACATATCCTTACTGTATATGAACAGTACACAGGGGTCTGAAAAAATATTTTAAACCACTAGGCACAGGACTAGTGGGCTGAAAAATTTACTTGTCTGGATTGGAAATTTACTCGTCCAAATTCAGGTATGAAAAGGCGACTTAATCAGCGAGGATGTGACATGTGACTTTTTTTCTATTTTTATTTAAAATTTTAGTGAAAAAACTATGCAGTGATGGCTGCTTTGTGTCAAACATTGTGCATGACTTAGGCCTAGCAATAGTGTTTGTTTACATCCCATTGACTAGGTGCTGCTAAATACAGACCGGTACATGTTTGTACTGCCCGAGAGCTCCTGACATCATTATGACCGCAGGAAAATGACTAAGGTATTCCAAATGCTATATTTGACATCATGGGAGTTCCAGTGTAATCAAAAGTTAGAGTGCAGACTGGAATATGTTGTTTTCGAAGTACCATAAACACGTTTCTTTGTTTTAAATTCTCTTTACATTTTTATTGAAATTTGTAACATTAATATCATTGGAAAAAATACTCGTCCGACGGACGACTGACAAAGATAAATCTGGTTGTCTGAGACAATTTTCACACGTCCATGACGACTGGACGAGTGCTTTTCCGGACCCCTGAGTACATTGTAACTATCCAGAAAAAAGATAATAGCTGGTAAATAGCTCACAGACTGCTATTGCAGTTTCAGTTCAGTACAAAATAATATTTTTATATGAGAAACATTTAAAATAGACTCTCAGACACATTAATCATATGTGTAACGTTATACTTCTTCCCATATAAACTCTACATTTAGAAAGAGTAAGTAATTTGCTTTAACAACATATGAAGTTTTCAGTGGAAGAGCAAGGGATTTCCAGAAAAACTGTACATAAATGGTGATAGACACATGTACTGGAAAATTTGAAATATAGATATCTATTTTACATGAAATGCACCTACAGTATCTTATGTAAATACCTGTCTCACTCGCTGGTAGCGTACTTCTGGTGTATCAAATGGCATGGCATGACCTCCATTTTTTGCATCCAACCCTTAACAAAAAGCATATCGGTAAACAAATGTGATAAAACTGAAATATGCACACGAACATTTCAATATTCTTTTATTGTAAAAAATCATTTCAAAGCTTACTGATGCCTTAAGCTGTCATTTTATTCATTTTTTAGAAATCAAAAATGCATGTCAGTGTCTTTTGACAGGACATATTAAAATGTAGTCATTGAAAAGTTAACTTAAACATTGTAGTTATATATATTTATTTTATCTATGTGTGAAAACTTTTATCACACTGTATAATTTCCAAGGAATTATTTCCATTTCATATTTTACATTTCTAACAAAGTTGATCAGAAATTTGATAAAAAAAAATAAATTCTTTCTATTCACACAAATGTAAATCTATTTATATCAAAAATATGTATCATTCAAATGAATCAATCTGATGTTCTATCGACTATTTCATATTGGTTCATTAACTCTAGAATGATATCAATATTTTCAGTGCAGCAGCAGCTACAGTTGTTAACAAATACAGTCAATATTACTGTACCAAATACTATAAATGTGCATGTGCAGCCAAGTATAACACATTTCAATTTAATCCAAACCAAGCTGTAAAAAACAGTACTGTCTATTGGGTTTGTCTAACCTGTATATTTGATTTTTTAATTCTCTACCAAGGAAAAAAACATTTGTTTCCTTAACAATTCCACTTAAGATCTTAAAACACTTTCGTAAATGCTTTTACAATAACATTCCTGCATGTGAAATAATTTAACCTACTTTCGTATACTGAAATCCTTCAAATTTTTCATGAGGATTTAAGAACCTGTTTAGCCAAGTCTAATCTTCCACAGGGTCCTCTTGTTAGTAAAACATGGTATATGTTAAAATACATGATTGTTCACAACAGGATTATAAGATTTTCATACATTTTTCACAATTACATGATTATGAATATCACAGAATGCACAAAAGTTTGTGCAAATTGTTTTTTTATTATTAAAGGACAATTTGTCTATTATATATACATACTAATATAGTAAAGTGTAGAAATTGACAATTATATGCTAATAGCCAATATAGCATACAGTAAAACATTACTGGTATTGGAAAGAAAATCTAGAAATTAGTTGATTACGACTTTTCATTTTGAAGTTTGTTCCATTCCTGACAACCAAATACATAACATGTTTCGAATAAGATGTCCAGTGATTTGAAACAAATATATTTTTAATGGATACCTTCCTTGTAAACTGCTGATGAACATTGTCAGCCAAAATAAAATCACTGGAAAGATGTTGTGATACCTTACCATTTATGTCATAATTGACTTTTTGAGCTTGAAATAATTTTGAATTGGCATCAATTTCAAAACTTTAAACATTTCTGCTAAAGGAGCATCATATGATTTCTCTAAAATCAATTTGGCAGCACATTTTTGAGCTTTTGACAATTTGTCTACAGAAGCTTCTGTAATTCCAGACCAGACCAGAATATATGTTTATGTTTGTAAGGGGAAGAGGAGGGGTTATATTAATGATCCACATATGGTTCACTATATATCTTAATCAGAGGCCTTTAGGCAAACTGAAGAAAAAGTTTTCTTGTGTAATGTAAAGTACAAATTAAACTGCTTGATTTGAGAGAACTTATTTTTTGCTTGATAGGTTAAGTGTAAAAAAGACTGGTTAACCACAGGTCCCAAGATTTTATCCATGCTGAGTCACTTAAATGAATAATGACTTCTGTTACACTGACACCCATATAGGGACTTTCCAATATTACTGAGCATTATTTTCACAAGCATAGCAGTAACCTTTTGATACTTTATTATGCAATACATATAAATATACTGACAATTTTCTGTGTATACCTGTGAATTCCCCATCGACAGACAAAAAGTCAGCATCATTGATGGACTCTGTGACAAAATTCAGCATCTGTTTAAAATCTGAAACATGAAAATGATGTGACAAAACACAATCGTCAACATTTTGATAATAACAGATTACAGCCCAAGAGTCCTGATATCAGAGCCCAAGGGTTGATTTGAGGTGTGATATTAAAATGGTCATATAATTGTCTTTTTATCAATTTTTTTTTCTTTAACTCATCCAACTTTACAATTCCTCCCGTAAGTTCTTCTAAAAATGCCTTGTCATAATTAGTCCTAGTTGCCATGATTTGCTGTTTATGTGGAAAATGGCATCATGTGGAAATTTTAGAGTGATTAAAAAATTATTTTGTTTAAGAAAAATGTTTATTTCTTCCACGCCAACAATATTATGTTCAAATCAGACAGTGGTAAGCATGAGCGCCAATCAACTTGTGGAAATTTCAGATTTGTCACTCATACAAAAACGGTGTTATCAGCAGTAAACATATGAAACTTAATAATAGCAGATGTTTATATATATATCACATAAATGTCACGTGCCTCTACCTAATACACCTATTAGAATCTGGATTGATTATAGAACATGATTAATTTTCAAAGGAATTATTATTAAAACAAGTAATATTAAACAAAGAATCAAATTTTGGATATTATTATTGTTTATACTACTATTACATAAAATTAACATTGTAGAATCATTATTTTTTCTTCAAATTATCATATTACTTGTGACCACTGCTTTCCTTCATAGTCTGGAGCTAGGACTGAGCTAAGGGACGAAATGACAAGCTTTAATTTATGAATGCAATCTAGGCTTGTCAAAGAGAACGCAATGGATGTATCTAAAAAATCGCTAATAGGAGGATTTTAAATTTCAGCATTGCAACAATTATTTCCAATTTTGAAGATATTACGCATTTCATCACTCGACAATGTGCCACAATCAAATTACCCACTTTTTCGTGTGATCTCCATTTTCCCAGCCGCTTAAGACATAAGAAATATGTTGTTCAACTTTACAATGCGAAATATTTTTAAGCTATCAGAAATTAGTAGGATAGATAGTAAAATTACTAAACAAATGTTTATAAAATTTTACATAGTCAATGCCAAAAACAATATATCATATGTCACAAAATGTAATTTTGTTAGATGTAAGGGACGATTGTTTCGATTTGACTTGTAGGTGTTTACGTGCAGCTGGGAAAACACACGTCTCATGTTCGCATTGCTGTAAACAATATATATATATATATCATATTCGCCAAAGATTTATTGGAAAACAGGTACTTACTGCACGCTTATCATAATACTTTAGAAAAGATATCCGGAAATTAGAGAATTTACTATTGCAAAAACAGATCTACAGTAAAGGTAAGGAGCTGGGGGTTTCCCCATGGTATTAGTTATAAATATCTTGTTGATATGGCTATGACTTTTTTTTCAAAAGTAAAACCTGCCACGTTGAAAGCGAAATTTAACGTCTGGTAATGACTGCCTCGTTGAAACTGTTTTGAATTTGTTGTAAGTTCATTTTATGCATTTTCATCAATTATTGATATGGTAACGTTAACATATTGGAAATGAAAAATAGCTATCGTGTCTGGAGCAGGAAATTGAAAAGGTCCAATACAGAAATAGATATGTAAATCTTCAATGTGTTCGGATGAAATTCTTTTCAATTATTTGAGAGAGTGTACTTACAGTTAGAATCCAATATATCAAATAAATAATCTCATCTCTTCTGATAACATTTCTATATGACCGCAAATGAAGTATTGTATCTATGGTATGTGGTGAAATAAAGATTACAAATTATTACATTGTGGTATATGTGACTACTTTCTAACATGTAGTTACTTCACACTTCAGTGATATATTGCATGATTAAAGAAGGACATTCAGCTTGCATCATTTCCAATTACCTAAAAGGACTAGTCATATATTTGATTTGTTCATGTCTGCTCCAATAAAAAATTGAAAAACATTGATATGTAGTATGCACCATTATAACAACCTTCAAGATGGATAGTGTTAAAATCTACCTTGGATAGCTATATCTAGACAGACCAGAATTATGTTCTGATAACATATACACTGTTTGAAGAAAAACACAGATTGATAACTAAAATATTGAGGCAAGAGAAACTAAGATGAAATGTGATCAAGATGTACTTAAAAGGATGACATAAAAGAACTAAAAAAGTGGCTTGTGATCCCTAGATTTACTCCTTGGATATCAACATACTGTTTTAGCATAATAATGTTTGGGTAATCCTGATACATATGAATAGACATGTAGCCACCTAAACCTGGAGACATGGGTAACCTCTGAGGTAATAAAAGGACATTCCAATCTTTTCTGCTATAGCTAGGACTTGCATACCTGTGTATGGGTTGGTGGTCCCTCTGTGTCGCGGATGTGTTTTTCAGGAAGCTGGGTATGAACATGTCTGTGCTGTTGTGATTGTGTCCATGGGCAAGACACATTACTTTTATTGCTCTGGATGGTATGGGACGGGCCTCCTGTATGTTGTTCAGTGAGGAAGCCACCAGCAGCTCTCTTAGACCCCGTCTGAAAATGACCCTAACTGTTCACGAAGCAACATACCCAGCAAAGAAAATTACAAACAATTGAACCTATTGGATTGTAATATTGGGCTGTGAAAGTTAATACAATGAAAAATAACAAAGTAATAGATTTTTTTCCAATCTGTATTGATTAATATCTATGTATTATACATACAGGGACAGCTCCCAGAATAAAAGCCAGTTTAGTAACCACAATAAAAAGCCTTACAGTCTCTGAGTATTCTTTTAAACAACATAGTAGACTGTTATAGGCTTACATGATGTTTGTTATGGACTCTGTTCTGAACTTCAAAATATTGTTAATTTGTTTCCTGTATTGTAGGTGTTAAAGAAGATAAAAGAAGTTTTGATGTCTGAGGTTGCCTACTAAGAAATGATGAAGACTACAGAAGACCTATGGCGAGATGCAAATACAGAAATGACATCCTCACCACATCAAATAGAGCGACAGACTTCCGTGTATGACATGGACATTAAGTGTCACATCTGTTATGAACTGTTGGTAAAACCTACCTCGCTTGCATGTGGTCACACCTTCTGTAGGCTATGTCTAGTACAATGGTACAACACCTCGAAACGCTTGGAATGCCCTGATTGTCGTTCACCATGGCAGGAAGTACCGAAAGTCAACATCTTCATAAGGTAATGATAGCTAAACATAGTTTGTGATCATACTAATGACTGAATTAATCATTAGCACCCAAAAATATTAACAATGTCTTTATCATAATAAAAAGCACAAATGTGTTCACAAGAATCCATTTTTTTGAGAGAGCCTATAGCTTTGTAACGGTATGTGATTTTTGTGTTTTTCTGTGAACACCATATATCCTCATGCAATGTTTTTTTGTTTTACATTTAAGCTTTGATAGGAATATTTTCTAGTTTTATGCTGATATTAAAGAATAACCTCTGCAAATTGAAAGGATGCATCAGGCACATTCATGATAAGTAAACTGATATTCCATTTATAAAAAAGAGATTCTGACAGAAATGCAGCAAAGTGGCGTGTTGCCATTGACTCCTCCAATCATTATCAAGTGGATGGAGCTACGTTGAAGATGTGGTTTTATCATCGAGAAATGAAAAGAAATAATCGACAAATCTGAAAGCTGCATTTTGTGTACAAACAACGAAAAATTAATGATATGGACTTATATGACATTACCTAAGAGGTATTATGATTTCATGTAATAATAATAAAATGACTTTAGAAAGTTTAGAATTATATTATGATGTTACATTAGAGATATAGATATACGTCCAACAAAATGTTACATATACCATGCGCTGTAATTTCTGGTAGTGATGTACTACTCACTGCACCTTATGTTAGAAATGATTTATAGTAGATTATTCCACTCTGCAGTATTGCCCATGGAGTGTTAAGTAGAATGGTAGACAATGTTTTTGATTTTTATTTGAAACATTAGTCTATACAGTATTTCATTTCAAACTTGAAACATCTCATATAGTCAAATGAGGTGTTACAGTATTACATCTGTGATTCAATTTTGTCTCGACTTTTTCTTGTTTTCAGAGAAGTGTTGCAAAAAGACTATCCTGAAAAGTTAAAGGAAAGAGAAGAGGCATTAAATACAGGAGAAAATGATAAAATAATAGCAGACTTTGAGAAATTTGGTCAGCAATTAAAAGCTAAAGGTCCTGTAGCTGGACTACAGGGTAGGCCTGTACAACCTCCAAGACAAAATGCAATAAAAGCAAAGGATTTCTGTGTAGGGTTCCTAGTAGCAGCTGGGGTAGTGATGGTGAGTTTAGCCTCCTGCCAAACAGAAAAAACCCATATCAATCTAACATTAAGCCATATCTGATATGATAACCCAACCTATTTACAGTTATGCTGTTGAGGTAAGCAAGAAACCTAAAATCATTCAAATTTTATATAATAAGCCAATCCCAAACCTTTGATTAATGCCATGGCCTTTCTATTTGTATTGAAGTATTGAAGGCCTCAACTTAAAACGACTGTGGTCGTTATACCCAGCAAGCAAAAAAAACAAATTATGTTTAAAGTGTTATGACTGATAAGGAAATGATGTTTACTTAAAATCACCCACTTTTGTTACACTTACAATGACTTGGAAAATATCAGAATGTCATATATATGATTTACGATGATTATTTTTACAGATGATGTATGTGGGATGGTATTGGCGTTACAGTAACGATGGATTGTTGATATACAAGCCAATCTTACGTTGGGAGCCGGAGGATGTAGGAACCTGGCTTGAAGAGTTAGGGGCCTGGAGTGCTGATTATGCCAGCAATGCAATAGAAGAACGAATAGGTACATATATTCTGTAGTTTAACTGTTAAATTACTGCGATGTTAATTCTTCAGACAGTTTTTTATAACAAAAAATAAATTAGAAGTTTGAAATAGATCCCTTTTTATTTAAAACTGGTTTTTTTTTTTTTTTTTTTTTGATGATATATACTTTACATTTGTATTTTCCTACAACATGTCTGCTTGGTACATCTTTTAGATGGACGGCAACTTTTAGTCATGGATGAAACTGACCTATCGGAAAAATTAGATATCATGGACAATCTCCATAGGAAGGTGGTATTGCAATCCCTGAAGGAGTTGACTGAAAGAGGATCAAAGCTGCCAGGAACACTATGGGAATACAAGGTGAAAAACCTATACCAGCTAACTACAGCTAGAAACAATGAAAACAAACACTGGGCCAGCACATACTATACATACCAATAAATTACACAAACACTGGGCCAGCACATACTATACATACCAATAAATTACACAAACACTGGGCCAGCACATACTATAGATACCAATAAATTATACAAACACTGGGCCAGCACATACTATAGATACCAATAAATTACACAAACACTGGGCCAGCACATACTATACATACCAATAAATTACACAAACACTGGGCCAGCACATACTATACATACCAATAAATTACACAAACACTGGGCCAGCACATACTATACATACCAATAAATTATACAAACACTGGGCCAGCACATACTATAGATACCAATAAATTACACAAACACTGGGCCAGCACATACTATAGATACCAATAAATTACACAAACACTGGGCCAGCACATACTATAGATACCAATAAATTACACAAACACTGGTCCAGCACTGACTCTAGATACCAATAAATTACACAAACACTGGGCCAGCACATACTATAGATACCAATAAATTACACAAACACTGGGCCAGCACATACTATAGATACCAATAAATTACACAAACACTGGGCCAGCACATACTATAGATACCAATAAATTACACAAACACTGGGCCAGCACTCACTATAGATACCAATAAATTACACAAACACTGGGCCAGCACTCACTATAGATACCAATAAATTACACAAACACTGGGCCAGCACTCACTATAGATACCAATAAATTACACAAACACTGGGCCAGCACATACTATAGATACCAATAAATTACACAAACACTGGGCCAGCACTCACTATAGATACCAATAAATTATACAAACACTGGGCCAGCACTCACTATAGATACCAATAAATTATACAAACACTGGGCCAGCACTCACTATAGATACCAATAAATTACACAAACACTGGGCCAGCACATACTATAGATACCAATAAATTATACAAACACTGGGCCAGCACTCACTATAGATACCAATAAATTACACAAACACTGGGCCAGCACATACTATAGATACCAATAAATTATACAAACACTGGGCCAGCACATACTATAGATACCAATAAATTATACAAACACTGGGCCAGCACATACTATAGATACCAATAAATTAAACAAACACTGGGCCAGCACTCACTATAGATACCAATAAATTACACAAACACTGGGCCAGCACTCACTATAGATACCAATAAATTACACAAACACTGGGCCAGCACATACTATAGATACCAATAAATTACACAAACACTGGGCCAGCACATACTATAGATACCAATAAATTACACAAACACTGGGCCAGCACATACTATAGATACCAATAAATTACACAAACACTGGGCCAGCACTCACTATAGATACCAATAAATTATACAAACACTGGGCCAGCACATACTATAGATACCAATAAATTATACAAACACTGGGCCAGCACATACTATAGATACCAATAAATTACACAAACACTGGGCCAGCACATACTATAGATACCAATAAATTACACAAACACTGGGCCAGCACATACTATAGATACCAATAAATTACACAAACACTGGGCCAGCACATACTATAGATACCAATAAATTACACAAACACTGGGCCAGCACATACTATAGATACCAATAAATTATACAAACACTGGGCCAGCACATACTATACATACCAATAAATTACACAAACACTGGGCCAGCACTCACTATAGATACCAATAAATTACACAAACACTGGGCCAGCACTCACTATACATACCAATAAATTACACAAACACTGGGCCAGCACATACTATACATACCAATAAATTATACAAACACTGGGCCAGCACATACTATACATACCAATAAATTATACAAACACTGGGCCAGCACTCACTATAGATACCAATAAATTATACAAACACTGGGCCAGCACATACTATAGATACCAATAAATTATACAAACACTGGGCCAGCACATACTATAGATACCAATAGGCCAGCACATCACTATAGATACCAATAAATTATACAAACACTGGGCCACTGGGCCAGCACATACCTACAAACATACATACCAATAAATACCAATAAATTACACAAACACTGGGCCAGCACATACTATAGATACCAATAAATTACACAAACACTGGGGCCAGCACATACTATAGATACCAATAAATTACACAAACACACATACTATAGATACCAATAAATTACACAAACACTGGGCCAGCACATACTATAGATACCAATAAATTACACAAACACTGGGCCAGCACATACTATAGATACCAATAAATTACACAAACACTGGGCCAGCACTCACTATAGATACCAATAAATTATACAAACACTGGGCCAGCACATACTATACATACCAATAAATTATACAAACACTGGGCCAGCACATACTATACATACCAATAAATTATACAAACACTGGGCCAGCACATACTATAGATACCAATAAATTACACAAACACTGGGCCAGCACATACTATAGATACCAATAAATTACACAAACACTGGGCCAGCACATACTATACATACCAATAAATTACACAAACACTGGGCCAGCACATACTATACATACCAATAAATTACACAAACACTGGGCCAGCACATACTATACATACCAATAAATTACACAAACACTGGGCCAGCACATACTATACATACCAATAAATTATACAAACACTGGGCCAGCACATACTATACATACCAATAAATTATACAAACACTGGGCCAGCACATACTATACATACCAATAAATTACACAAACACTATACATACCAATAAATTATACAAACACTGGGCAAGCACATACTATAGATACCAATAAATTACACAAACACTGGGCCAGCACATACTATACATACCAATAAATTACACAAACACTGGGCCAGCACATACTATAGATACCAATAAATTACACAAACACTGGGCCAGCACATACTATAGATACCAATAAATTACACAAACACTGGGCCAGCACATACTATAGATACCAATAAATTATACAAACACTGGGCCAGCACATACTATACATACCAATAAATTACACAAACACTGGGCCAGCACATACTATACATACCAATAAATTATACAAACACTGGGCCAGCACATACTATACATACCAATAAATTATACAAACACTGGGCCAGCACATACTATAGATACCAATAAATTATACAAACACTGGGCCAGCACATACTATAGATACCAATAAATTATACAAACACTGGGCCAGCACATACTATACATACCAATAAATTATACAAACACTGGGCCAGCACATACTATAGATACCAATAAATTATACAAACACTGGGCCAGCACATACTATAGATACCAATAAATTATACAAACACTGGGCCAGCACATACTATAGATACCAATAAATTATACAAACACTGGGCCAGCACATTCTATAGATACCAATAAATTATACAAACACTGGGCCAGCACATACTATACATACCAATAAATTATACAAACACTGGGCCAGCACATACTATAGATACCAATAAATTATACAAACACTGGGCCAGCACATACTATAGATACCAATAAATTATACAAACACTGGGCCAGCACATACTATACATACCAATAAATTATACAAACACTGGGCCAGCACATACTATACATACCAATAAATTATACAAACACTGGGCCAGCACCTATAGATACCAATAAATTATACAAACACTGGGCCAGCACATACTATACATACCAATAAATTATACAAACACTGGGCCAGCACATACTATACATACCAATAAATTATACAAACACTGGGCCAGCACTCACTATAGATACCAATAAATTATACAAACACTGGGCCAGCACTCACTATAGATACCAATAAATTCCCCTACCACTGGGCGAGCACAGACTATACTTTCGATTAAATTATACAAACACTGGGCCAGCACACAATATGATGTGGGCCAGCACACAATATGATGTAAAACCACTAATAAATACAAACACTGGGCCAGCACACAATACAAACACTGGGCCAGCACATACTATACATACCAATAAATTATACAAACACTGGGCCAGCACATACTATACATACCAATAAATTATACAAACACTGGGCCAGCACATACTATACATACCAATAAATTATACAAACACTGGGCCAGCACATACTATACATACCAATAAATTACACAAACACTGGGCCAGCACACAATATGATGTAGAACAACTAATAATACAAACACTGGGGCAGCACACAATATGATGTAGAACAACTAATAATACAAACACTGGGGCAGCACACAATATGATGTAGAACAGCTAATGATACAAACACTGGGGCAGCACACAATATGATGTAGAACAACTAATGATACAAACACTGGGCCAGCACACAATATGATGTAGAACAACTAATAATACAAACACTGGGGCAGCACACAATATGATGTAGAACAACTAATAATACAAACACTGGGGCAGCACACAATATGATGTAGAACAGCTAATTATACAAACACTGGGCCAGCACACAATATGATGTAGAACAACTAATGATACAAACACTGGGCCAGCACACAATATGATGTAGAACAACTAATAATACAAACACTGGGGCAGCACACAATATGATGTAGAACAACTAATGATACAAACACTGGGCCAGCACACAATATGATGTAGAACAACTAATGATACAAACACTGGGGCAGCACACAATATGATGTAGAACAACTAATGATACAAACACTGGGGCAGCACACAATATGATGTAGAACAACTAATGATACAAACACTGGGCCAGCACACAATATGATGTAGAACAACTAATGATACAAACACTGGGGCAGCACATGTAATAATCAATAAATTACAGTAAAAACTGCACACAAAAATATACTCAATGCATTTTATATACCAGCTCAGGCCTATGCAATTTCTCCCCAGTAAAGCCTTCCACGTATTTTACAAATATTTCCAGTTAAAGCTTAGAGATCACATTCTTAAGATATAATTTATTTAACAGGTTATACAGACAGAAATGAGCTATCAGATACATATTGAAAGATGATAGATTTACAGTCAAGTGTGTTTACATTTTTTCCTTTTCTTCCTTTAACAATGATCTTATCAAAATAAATCAATATCATAAACAGTTGTCGTCACTGGTTGTTCCTGATACTTACCTGATGTACATTTTATACTTACAGTCACTGCACCCTGGACTTGCCATACTGTTGTTATATGGAATGAAAGACAACCCTCGCACTACAATGTTACTCATGTACATGTTTGAATATGATTCTGTATTCATCCCTTTTGTACACAACACATGTGCTGCTGATTCTGAAGCAGGTTTAGACATGGTGAGTAATAAAACAGATACATAGATCTAAGGATTCTGAGTCAGAGTTAGACATGGTAATACATTGTATATATCTCAGGATTCAGGGTCAGAGTTAGACATGGTAACACATTGTATATATATCAGGATTCAGGGTCAGAGTTAGACATGGTAACACATTGTATATATCTCAGTATTCTGAGTCAGTGTTAGACATGGTAACACATTGAATATATATCAGGATTCAGGGTCAGAGTCAGACACACTAATGCACTGTATTGTATGTGAACGTCATAGTTCATTATATTTCCCATGTATTGTTATCTTTATGAAATGCACACCTTTGGCTCAGCAGCATTCTCCTTGATATGAGTAGCCCGTATGATATGTGACATTACAAGTTCAGTGATGTCAAAGCAGCCCTTCAGAAATATAGCTTTAATTGTATATTGAATATGTGAACCTTTTAGCTACTGATGTGATATATTCCACTGAAAATGTCATACTTTTTATAATTCAATAGTTCTCTAGAAAATATAATAAACCAGTAGTTTATACAACCCAAAGCAAATTATTAAAAATTCAGTCAAATTAACGAACGCCCCAAACCCCCACCCCCCTACTCATTCTTTACATTGTCAAATGGCCTACAAATATCCCAGTACATAAATCTATACTGATAAGGAGCTGCAACATAATTATGTATTTTAATCTCCAGTTATAAAGTCTGAATCAATATGAATAAGTATGTCATATCTGTGACATAGGTTGTCTTGAATAGTTGCATTAACTAGAGGTATAGGGAAGAGATTGTTTTGTTATTTTCAAGCTTTAGGCAATTAGGAGATTTTATTATGTTAACCCTAAATAGATGTACAAACAATTTAAGAACAGTCCATTCAAGTATCAAAAGTCTCATATTTATATTTTTCTTCAAATTGGTCCTTTTATATTACATCATAGTACATCATTTTAAAATGGAAAAATGGAATACACATTACAATGACATTACCAAAGTATAAATCTTTGGAAATAAAAAATTCTGGCACAAAGTATCTCCATTCATTGATATGATATGGAATTACAATTTTCAATATAGAGTGAATAAAATGATTGCAAACTGAATTTTCATATACATAAAGAGTTACACAGTTTAATTTTCTCACAACTTGTTTAATTTAACAATTTTCTCATCTGCGCTCAGAAACATTGCTACCAGTCATTGTTTCCTTGAGTCATCTGTTTAGTTTCAATTGAGATCACTGCCTGAAAATTCTGGCAAATTTCTTACAACTGGATCCAATCTGCATGATATTATCATCAGCATTATCTAATTACTCTCAATTAAAAATATTAATTTGTAATGTGATGATGTAAACCATAGCTGTTTTCAATCTTACCTATTCCTTTCGTGGTGGCTGTTACAGTTGGTGAACTTGTGATGTAAGAACCGATAGAGTCCCATTCAGGGCGAGTTACAATTATATTAATTAATAGTAGGAGCACAGGTGAAAATCCTACACTACACTCATAAATATATCCGTATTGAGCCAGCCAGTTTTGATGTGACTTTCAACCTTTTTGATTATGGATTATATAGAGAATGATAATATTCATTTCTGTTTTTGTTCAGGGTACACTGTAAAGTCAGTGTCCGGTAAGTCTCCACATCATTAGGTACCAGTTACATAGTCACCAAAGTAGATTACATAAAATGTTGCATTATTTCAAGACAGAAACAATTCCCCAGGTTTCTAAATAAATAACATATTGTATTGTTTGATACAACATCTCACTAAATGGTTTGTATGGATATTAATGTGATGAAACTCTACATCATTCAGGCCAGTAATATATTACATATATCAAGAAAAAATAATAGAGACTTTAAGTAGTTATTTTGTAATCTCTTTTGTTCATGTTTAAAACTTCTTTCCATGAAACAGCAGTATTAAAAGTTCACTTATTCCTAGATACATGTAGTGTAGACTAGTGTCTAAATCTTGAGAATTAATTGAAATGGAAAAGGAAAGAAAGTGATGAAAAATTAGAATGAAATAGCATATGGAGTCACATTTTATTTTGACAAATGAATTTCATATGGAACATGCACTATCAACACAGTAGCTGTACAGTGATATGTTGCATAGATTTTCTAGAACATTTTAGATGTGAAATAAATCTACTTAGAGTTATCGCCCCTTGACCCAAATTCTGCTATGAAACTCCCTGGTTTGTTTGGTTTTTTTTTTTTTTAAATGTTGGTTGTAAAGAGAGTATTTTTTAAGAACTGGGTGACACTCGGCTTGAAATTACAACATTGACATTTTTGTTTTGTAAACCCTATATAACTGTAAATCTATCAAAATCTGTTGTTTATTAGATTTACAGAAACTGGAATTAATCTGCATTTAATTTTTTTTTAATTATTTGCCAACAATAAGTCATGGCATGGCAATGCGAGATTTCCTGTCTGTACACTGATGAGTGAGTGTCTGACATCATATGTTATGTAACATTAGTGATATTGGGTGGATTAATATAGATTTAATGGTCTCCCCGGTGTGACATCAGATTCCAGTACAACAGGTACAGCCTATCCACAGGTGCAACATTAACTTCCCAGCCATTGTTACTATCTCTGTAGCCATTAAAGCTTCTTGTCACTATACACACTTGATTAGTCTGTCAGCACCACATCTACAACATGGTGGAGATAGGACCAGAAAAAGAACACAAAACAAGACAACCAGAGACTGACTGATGATAGGGTTACAGATGGATATTGTATTTTGCTTTAGATAAAGTAATAATGCTTTGATGACATTTCTTCGTAATATGATGAATGTGTATCAATGTTTCTACATACGATAGCTTTAGTCTCATTCCATTCATCAGTCTGCAAGTCTTACAAATCTGTGCAATCTGGTCACTTTACTGTAACCAGTCTTAGATGGTCTGGGTGGCACAGAATTATTCTATGATTAACAAAAGTACCTGTACCTGAAGTAACAAATGTTACATGTCTAACCCTTACTCTGAATGCACTGTTTCAAAGTTTCTTGTCAAACATAAAACTATGAACCAGTAAATTAACCCGCAGTGAATATCACATTACTTCAGGAAATATGTACAAGCACCAAACTAGTTTTATGTTGAAATTTAAAACCATTTATGTTCCTCAAACTGCGCATGTAGAATATTATGCAGTCCTGTCTCAGTCACGATCTGTTCCTTGCTTTCCTCTTGCAAGTTCAGCCATTTTAACCATTTTAACTGCTTATAAGAAAGGAACCCAGTACATCTCTGGTAATTACATTTTTGGGCAGCAGTGCATTTTAACATTATTAGCTACTAATAGTGAAGGGTCAGACAGATATATACAGAGAGCTAGATGAAGCTGCAGAAAGCCCTGTAGAATGATTAATAGTGGAGGGTCAGACAGATATATACACAGAGCTAGATGAAGCTGCAGAAACCCCTGTAGAATGATTAATAGTGAAGGGTCAGACAGATATATACAGAGAGCTAGATGAAGCTGCAGAAAGCCCTGTAGAATGATTAATAGTGGAGGGTCAGACAGATATATACAGAGAGCTAGATGAAGCTGCAGAAACCCCTGTAGAATGATTAATAGTGGAGGGTCAGACAGATATATACAGAGAGCTAGATGAAGCTGCAGAAACCCCTGTAGAATGATTAATAGTGGCGGGTCAGACAGATATATACAGAGCTAGATGGAGCTGCAGAAACCCCTGTAGAATGATTAATAGTGGCGGGTCAGACAGGTATATACAGAGAGCTAGATGAATCTGCAGAAAGCCCTGTAGAATGATTAATAGTGAAGGGTCAGACAGATATATACAGAGAGCTAGATGAAGCTGCAGAAACCCCTGTAGAATGATTAATAGTGGAGGGTCAGACAGATATATACAGAGAGCTAGATGAAGCTGCAGAAAGCCCTGTAGAATGATTAATAGTGAAGGGTCAGACAGATATATACAGAGAGCTAGATGGAGCTGCAGAAACCCCTGTAGAATGATTAATAGTGGAGGGTCAGACAGATATATACAGAGCTAGATGAAGCTGCAGAAACCCCTGTAGAATGATTAATAGTGGAGGGTCAGACAGATATATACAGAGAGCTAGATGAAGCTGCAGAAAGCCCTGTAGAATGATTAATAGTGGAGGGTCAGACAGATATATACAGAGAGCTAGATGGAGCTGCAGAAACCCCTGTAGAATGATTAATAGTGGAGGGTCAGACAGATATATACAGAGAGCTAGATGGAGCTGCAGAAACCCCTGTAGAATGATTAATAGTGGAGGGTCAGACAGATATATACAGAGCTAGATGAAGCTGCAGAAACCCCTGTAGAATGACAAAAACTTATCTGATAACTCATTTATTTCATTGAGGAATATTCCTGGTATCATGCTATGGGAGATGTTGTGCAAAAGATTTTTAATGAATTAAGTTTATGAGAGTGATGTTTAATGAAATTAAATTAATAAAATATTGCATGATATATCCATGATTAATGACAAAAAATACTGTGTTGTACTGTATCCCCAAAACAAATATTTCTCTCCAGTAAAGTCTGAAGACATAAACAGATACGACAAATCACAATAATTAACTTGGATGCTATGATATAGGCTTTCTTGGCTTTTCAAATCTTAAACATAATGATGTGTAGGCAGCCACATTGTTGTCTTTAACATGGACTTACTTAGAAATATAGGAGAAACCACATGACATCAATCAACCCATGGATTGAATAGACTTCATTCCGAGATCAACTGAAATGTGGATGTTCCCCTCTACTAAGGCTATATCTATATACACCACTTAGTTAAGAAGGGGTGGGGCAGTGGTAGATCTGTAGTAATTACTTTGCTTGTGCCTGTCTCCATGCATACAAAGTTTTTGTACGAGGTATCTCATGAAACTCTTGACATATATACATATATATTCACATCGTCATCAAGTTCTACCTATGATTAAACTTTGATGATCTT